TCTGCCAATCTAAGTCAAAAAAAAAACACAAACACACACACCGGACTTCTAACAGTTCGTTTCACGAAACACTACGGTACAAAAATGAAACTAATATGCGAAGCTCCTTCTAAGAAACCTGAATTATGCATGCTACAATCAAAACACCTGCTCGCAGTGCCAATGAATGACATGTGAATGCCTTAAAGTTCCTTCATATTCAAAATTGTTGTAGAAGTATGCGTTTTTTGAGCATTCATTTGCTTGAACTCGCACGCTCGACTATTAGATTTCAGATACTTTGAATTAGTTCTTGAAAACAAAACTGAAATCGTTTTTCGTTCCACTGCTGCACGGAGCTGTTTTAGCAGTTGTTTTTGAACCATCCTCAAGATATTACAGGAAATAACATTTCTAAGTTCCTGATTTCAAAAATGAAACAGTTTTACTGTATTCTAACATGAATGCAAGAAATGAAATTTTCCTAACCTACTTTAATTGCCTCTTATTATTTTCAAAAAATCCGGATGCTTTTTTTTACATCTCAGCTTATTTGTATAACGAAACATCCCGCAAGACTTCCATTCAGCTAAAAATTATATTCCTATTTCGCAAACTAGTTTTTCTTTCTGCATCATATTTCTACTTGAGCAAATAACTATTGATTAGATTTTTTTGAGATCTTTTCTTTCTCGTAGACACCAAATTATGGTCACGGTGAGATGCGATGCCCACATCGCCTCAGCCCAAAGTTGGAGGAAGGGTAGTCTCGCAGCTATACTTAATTTGGAAGTAGCCTCTGGCAGAAAATTATTTTTGTCCCATTTATTCTCTTGCTCGCAACTTTCCATCTTTCAGCATTGGGTCTTATAATTTATCTGCCCAGATAATTACGCATCAAACTCATTTTTATAAACTGTGCCCTTTTTCCACTTTCTGCACGGTATCCAATAAAATTGCACCGTCTTTTGCTTATTCTGTGCGGATTTTTTTTGTTAGGCATATTCTTACAATGTCCACAACTGATAATAGCGGTGATAATATTCACAATCAATATAATGTTAAAACTCCATGATTACAAAAATGTCGACCGCCTGATAAACACGTAGAAATACTGCTAACAAAAGTTTATACAGATATGATCTGAGATTCAGCGTTTCGATTTGGCAAGAACGAAACTTTGATTGGTCATCTTGAAGCACGACTTATCTGGGTCCTTCCTTGTTAATGATCACTTCCCGATCTTCGGGCCCATGCTGAGCAACGATGTTATATTCTTCATCAGGAATATGCATTCCCGCGAACAAATGGTAACTCCACGCAAAAACTACTGCACCAACCATCGGAGCAATTATCGGCACCAGAAACCAGAATGCATATGGGTACCTGAAATTGCCAGGTGATTATTGCACCTAAAATTTGTGATCGATACGTCAGTAACTGATCACCTTTCGGAAATATTGAAATAGGTGGTGCAAGTGCGCGATATTAGCACATAATACCCATGTTCTATTTTCATTTTCGATTGTATTGAATGTAATTTATTCTTTCCCAATCTCTTATTTCCCGCATATTCCTACAACACCCGGTGCGTCGGAGCATCCCAATAACATCACCAATATAAATCCCCACCATTGTCTTGGCAATTCTTGATGTTCTAGGTATTCTCCACCTTTCACTTCGAATTAACTTCTACAGTAATTTTTTTGTTCCCGTACCCTATATTTGTCATTAAATCTAAGTCTCAATGCACTAAAATTATGTTCAAACGAGAATATACTCCCAAAAATAAGACGTACGTGAAAACTCCAGTTCCGTAGACGAAGAGTGTGAAGATGCGTGGTCCAAGATCTCGAGCTGGGTTGATTGGGTAGCCAACATTCATTCCAAAGCATGT